GGACCAAAATAGTTCCCAACTATTTTGAGGGACCAATTTGGTCCCTCGACTCCTCCAAATGAGACTTTTTTTAATGATTTTGCACCTTTTAAAATTTTTAATACTTCCTACTCCTAATTCTTATTTTGACGCCGCTCCTTAAAAAAAACCCGATAAAGGTGACATTTCTACTGAGGTATATAAAAAATCAAATAAAACAACCACTCCCCATCTTTCTCTTTTTCCTTTCTAGCATTCATTGGCTCAGCTATCATAGCATCCGCTTCAAATTGCTGGCTAGCCACATCCCCATCATCTAAATCATGGAAAGAAGCAGCAGACTAACAAGATGAACACGATACCAGCAGCATGAACAAGGCGACACCCTAATACCTCGAACATGTTCCAGGTGCTTAATGGCTTCAGTACCAAGATTCCCCTGCTGAAAGGTAGTTGATACAAACAATATCAACGAATGCAGCAAAGAACAGGAGAGGAATAATGACCATTCCCTTTAGGCGCCTCTCAATTCTCTAGTTGTGAACTGAATGCCCACTCCGAGACTTCTACCTGAGCTTTATAATTGCTTGCTACTTTAGGGATAGGGAGCACAAGCAGACTTCTTGCTACCATCACACACACAACATCCTCCTCAATTCCTCCATCAGCATTGTAGGCAAGCTTCCAAAAAGAATAAGAAGCTGTTATTTTTGTATTGCATAAAGGGCTTCCTAGATCAGGCTCGGCAGTCAATTAGAAAAATGGGAGAGAATTAAGTTCTATCTTATTATCCATTTAGTAAATGTTAATGGATTGGGTAAACGTAGGTAAAAAAATATGCCCTTAAAACCAATTTTGACACCCTCAGTGCAATGCATCATGTTGCTAAATGCTTTTTTAGTTTTTTTTTTTTTAATCTGATCATGAGGACGCATTTAAAAACAAACAAAAAAATATTAGGATTTTTTTTTTTTTTTTTTTTTTTTTTTTTTTTGAGATCTAACGCATTAGGCTGCAATATATGACAATAAAGTTGTGTTGATGCAAATTGGGCACAAGAAGAAGAGATTTCTCATTTGAAAAATAGAGCATTAATGATTGCAACCATTAAAAAAGCGGACAAGGCATCCGCATTGAGTCGCGCCTCAAGTCGAGGCGGAAGTCATGCGCATCGGGGCTTACGCCTCGAACCATCCAGCGAAGCCTACGATTTTTTCGCACGAGGCATACGCATTAGAGCGTAACGCCTCGATGCAATATGAGGCACCGCCTCAAAATTTTTTTCTTCGGTGTATATGTAAATACGACACAGCCGATTCGTGTTCGTGTATTCGCGTATAGAATTAGGGCTTCTTATAAGAATTGAAAGGCAAATTAGAGGCGAAGCCGTGAGAAAAAGAGACGAAGCCTTGAGGGAAGGAGACGAAGCCGTGAGTGTAGGAGACGAAGTCAGAAGGAGACGACGTAGGGAAAGAAACGAAGCCGAAGTTGTGAGTGCAGCAAACGTTCAGGCATCGGTTAGGCCGGAAGAGCAGGTACGCGGTATTGTGGCCTTGACTTTGACGTGCAGTAACGAAATCTTGAATAACTCCTGATTCGGCTTTCCTTCATTCGTCCGCTTAGTACATGCTCGATACCGAGCAAGTACAAGCTCGGTACCGCTCAGTACATGCTCGGTACCACTCAGTACATGCTCGGTACTACTTAGTACATGCTCGGTACCGAGCCAGTACCGCTCGGTACCGAGCAAGTACATGCTCGGTACTTAGCGGTACATGCTCGGTACCGAGAAAGTACACGCTCGGTACCGAGCAAGTACACGCTCGGTACCGAGCTAGTACCGCTCGGTACCGAGCCGTACATGCTCGGTACCGAGCCGTACATGCTCGGTACCGAGCCGTACATGCTCGGTACCGAGCCGTACATGCTCGGTACCGAGCCGTACATGCTCGGTACCGAGCCGTACATGCTCGGTACCGAGCCGTACATGCTAGATACCGAGCCGTACATGCTCGGTACGCTCGGTATTGAGCATATACAACAAGCAGAATTTCAAAATTGCTCTTATAATATAATTTTGTTCCCCGCCAGGGGGAAGCGCCCCCGACAGACTGGTATATTTCTGTATTCATATTGTTTTATTATTGGTAGTACAACTAATTATTAAAATATGTCCTATTGTTAGCATGACTAGTGGCACAAGAAAGAAAGATCCTGCATGAAAATATGGAACTCAAGTTGAAGTGTCAGGCGAAGGTACAAAGAAGGGATATGTTTAAATGAAATATAATTTCTATGAGAAACACATAACTGGTGGCATCAAGAGATTGAAGGATCATCTAGCCAACACTCATGTCAATGTGGGACCATATGCAAAAGTTCCTGATGAGGTGAAAAAGGAATGTACAAATTATTTAAAGAAGTTTTCCACCACAAAGGAGGTTACACAAAGAAATATGAAAGAGATGATAGAAAACTCTTCTTACTATGGATCACAACATGAAGGTTCTAGTACTGGAAGCCATCTAGTTTCTTCTAATTGAGGCAGTCAGGGGCCCATAGATAGATTTATGCTAAATATTAATAACGGGGAAAACATAAATACTCAGGATATTCAGCCTCCTACAGCTACAAAAGAACTCATGAACAGAGTTTGTTTGGATATCGCCAGATTCATCTATGAAAATGGGATTCCATTTAATGTTGTTAGGAGTCCGTCGTGGATCAATATGTTACGATCTGTTGGAAGCTATGGAATAGGATTCCAACTTCCAAGCATGTATGAGCTGGGGACTAAGATGCTGAATGAGGAGGTTAAGACAACTTCAAAAATGGTGGATGATGTTAAGAAGACTTGGATTGAGACAGGAGTGATAATAATGTCAGATGGTTGGTCAGATATTCGACATAGAAGTATTATTAATTTCTTGGTCAACAATCCATATGGAACAATTTTTTTTCTCAAATTAGTAGATGCTTCAAGCTTTGTAAAGGATGCACAATTATTGTTTGAAATGTTGGATGAAGTTGTGGAGCAAGTGGGAGATGCCTTAGTAGTACAAGTTGTTACTGATAATGCAAGTGCATACAAAGCTGCAAGAAGAATGTTAATGGAGAAGAGGCCTCACCTTTACTGAACTCCTTGTGCTGCACATTGTATTGACTTGATGCTTGATAGATTGGGACAGTTGCCTCAACATAAATCAGCCATATTGAAGGCCAAATTAGTTAGTAAGTTTATATACAATCATTCTTGGGTACTCAGCTTGATGAGAAAGTTCACTGACAAGGAAATTATTAGACCTGCTGTTACAAGATTTGCTACTGCATATTTAACATTGCAGAGATTCAAGGAGTTAAGACAACCTTTGGAAGTAATGTTTGCTTCTGATGAGTGGGATAAAAGTTCATGGGCCAAAAAACAAGAAGGAAAATAAGTTAAAAAGATTGTTATAAAAGACAATTCATTTTTGCGCAGTACAAATTATGCTTTGAAGACAACAGGACCATTAGTAAAGGTGCTTAGAATGGTTGATGATGAGAGGGCCCTAGCTATGGGATTTATTTATGAAGCAATGAATAGGGCTAAAGGAGACATTGCAAAAGAATTGAGAGGTCAAGAAAGTGCCTACAAAGAAATATGGGATATTATAGATGAAAAGTGTGATCGACAATTACACCAACACTTACATGCTGCTGCGTACTATTTAAATCCCCAATTTCATTATGATAAAGATTTTCATGTTGACAAAGAGGTGAAAATTGATTTGTATGCATGTATGGACAGACTCATTTCTGAAGAAGACTACCTCAAAGTGAATGATCAACTTGAGGATTTTCATTTAAATAAGGGAATGTTTGGATTTAGAGCAGCACAAGCATGCTACAAAACACGATCTCCTGGTATGTTTATAGTTTGAGTATTTATAATTTTAATATTAATATTTATATTCAAGTCTTATACTTCAACCAATATTCATAAAATACTATGTTTGTCTTCGTGTAGAATGTTGGTGGGCTCAGTTTGGAGATGATATTCCTGAATTGAAAGCTTTTGCAGTTAAAGTTCTTAGCCTAACGTGTTCGGCTTCTGTATGCGAGCGTAATTGGAGTATCTTCAATCAAATTCATACAAAGAGAAGAAATCGATTGGTGGCAGATCGAATGAACAAACTAGTTTATGTTATGTTTAACAAAAAACTGAAAGATAGACATCTCAAATTGCAAAATCAAGAAAATATTGAGAATGAAATTGACCCTTTGCTTGTTGATGAGCTACAATCTGATGATGAATGGGTTACTCCTAAGAATACTGATGTATCTGAAGTTGAAGCAGAAGGAGAAAGTCATATCAATGAAGAAGGCAATGAAGCAACTACCTAAGTATATAAAAGAAAGAAACAGAGTGAGATTGGAGCTTTAAAAAAATTTAAAGGTATTCTTAAATATAATGAATTATTTTGTATGTTACTATTGTTTCATTTTAGATCTAATGAAATATTAACTAATATAGGAGATAAAGGAAAAAATATTATAGATGAAGAAGAGTTGGAGGATGACTTTGACATTAATTATGAAGATTCTTCTGAAGACAATCAAAGTCATGATGAGCATGCTTTGGGTCTTGATCCTAAGGGGATGTTTTATTTTTAAGTGATTTATTTTAAATCTTGTATTCCAATAATATTATCTTAAAACAAATCTTCATATTCATAGTTGACATAATATTTTGTTATTTTTTGTCATTATTTATAATTTTAAATTAATTTATTTTAATTGTTTTGAGGCTTACGCCTCGCCTCGCTTAGAAAAAACTCGATTCCCGATTTCACTTTTTAAAACGTTGAATGATTGTAATATAATTTCGTCTAAAGAAAGCACCTGACTCACTGAGGCAATCAAAACTAGGAATAAAAACACTAGAGAATGTGACCAAACACTCCACACCAGCCTTGTCTTACATGCAACATTGTATATCAGAACCACCGAAATAGTAAAGGAGGTATAATCAAATTGCATACCACTTGCTTAGAATTAACCAGACAATCGCCGACACTTCCAGATTTTGTAAGCAGTGAACCCTGAACAAGCATAGGTATTGTTACTAGAGGAGGCAGAGAATAATGAACTCATAATTAGTAGAAAGGAAGAAAAAAAAAACTTGAAAAATGAATCCAAACCTGTGATGACCTTCGTGGAATTGTGCTTAAAGGAACATCCTGAAATGCAATTGCATTTTTTCATGCATCAGATGCTGGTGATTTTATAAGTTTTCACTTTACAGGAAAGATACCTTTACAAGTTCAACATTCTCAGATGTAACAGAAAACCGTCCTTTTATCTGTACCACATTTGACCGGGATTTATCCTCTAGTGAATCTCCATATCCTAAAGAAATTAATTACAAAAAAAGGTTAATAATAAATCAATTAAAAAAGCACAAATATGATTCTTTCTAAAGCAGTTAATAAAAGCATACGTTCGAGGGATCTTTAAAGCCACACAAAGGCTTCATTCAATCAGAGAGATTCTACTTCCTAGATCTTTTTCTTGAAATCTCCATTTCATTTTTTCAAATGCAAAATCCATAAGCTAGAAATAAAAAACATAAACCAATAGGTAGACTAATTTTTCTTACCACTTGAATATCGTATGGGAGCAGACAAACTATTAGCAGAGGCACGATTTGGAAGCATCAATGGGCCACTCAAATTTGGAGCCTTTCGTGAATCACGTCTACCTTTCTCAGTTGCCAATATATTCTCAGCATCAGCTCTATTGAAAACAGACTAAACATAAATCAAATACTTTAAATTCAAGTAGTTCAGTCTTTTGAGCATTTCCTTCACGAGGTAAAATTAAGAAATACTGTCCACAACATCAACATGAGATCAAGATTAAAGGGTTTTTAATTTCAGTCTATGCAATATAGCAGTGTTAACAACGTAACAATAAAGGGAGATTGGTTTCACTTATATCCTAGTTTATAATTCAAATAAGAGCAATATTCTAGATAGAACCTAAATTGAACACAATTTAGATAATCTCAAACTTCTTGACTAGAAAAATGATAGGAAAAAAAAAGTTAAAATCACCATTGATATCCTAAATAGAACCGTTTTCAATAAACAAGATAACACTAAACTAAATTGACAGCATTTTACAGTCAAAAGTATTACCCAAATAAAATTATTATCTATATAGAGATACAAATATCCACTTCAACAAGATTTGATTGTAAAAGCACAATACCATAATCAGGAATGCAAAAGAATTTAATTTGACCAATTAATTTGTCATTGTTAAATGGGTGGTGATCCATTTAGAAGTGTTCAACATTCAAATTCTTGTGCAAATACTCCTGCAAGTTCAATGGTTCTCTTTAGTCAATTTTATGGGGTTTCCAAGCGGAAGGCATGTGGGTTCTATTGGATTTCATGCATGCAATGTTAGTGAGATTTTTAGAGACCTTTGTTGATACATATCAAGCTAACGGTCAAGGAAGTCTCACTCAAATTACCGCTAGTGATCCTATACGTGCGCTAAGACACGAAGGCAGAGGCGAGAGGAAGTTAGTGGATTGCCAACCCAACTTTGAACCCACGAGGATCTAAAAAGGCCTATTATTAATACCATAGTTAGATCATTAGATGTTAATCTCCTCCAATTGATTAATTAGTGCTTTGATAGGGTTATTTTAGTTATTTATGTCTTATTTCTACATTTTGAATAGTTAGAAGGATTTTATGTAAACCGTATAAACTTACCTATTTAAAAGCCTTAGGAATGAGAATTGGAGACAAAGTTTGGTGGATCAATTCAATGAATTCTTTTAAAAGTGTTGCTGCCCTTAGGTGCCCCTCTTGGAGTTTACAAGAACCTCCCTCCCTCCTCCCTTCTTCCAGATTCAGCCGAAACCTTTCTTTCCTCCCTCTCTTTCTCTCAACCGCAGGTTTTGTCTTGGAGAATCCAAAATCTCCAGTCCTCCCCAGCCCTCCTGCTATCAAGCCCAAACCCTATTCCTTCTCACACTTCCCCTTGCTGCTGGACACAATAAGCAGCTAGCTGCCAGATTCGGTTAAGCCACCCACTTCTGCTGCAAAGAACATCCCTCTGCGGCTTTCAAGAACCGCACCTCCAGTTTTTCCAGCCTCTGCTCTCAGGTTCTGTTCTTGGAGTCTCCAAGAAACGCATCTCATCGTTCCTCCACCTCTCAGCCATCCAGCCAGGTCTCTGTAGGTTGGAGATAATCCTTCTCCCAGAATTCTGCAACGGGCAGAATTCCAGAACTCTCAGCCTTCAATTCTTGCAATTCAGCCAGCAAGAAACTCCAATTTCAGCCTTCGGAAACCTTCCGATCTCAAAATTTTGTAAGACAGAATTCCAGAAAAACACTCAGCTCTCAGAACTTGCAGATTCAGTAGCAAAGAACTTCAGCCAGATGAAATTGAAGATCCTATGGATAGATGGATTCCATCAGAATCGACAAATCCTTTGCTGTATGAACTGTACAAACTTCAATCATGGATGCACTTATGTACAGAAAGGTACATGAAGAAGAAGCAGCGTTTACAAGATCAATTTCTGAAAGAACAAGAAGATATCCTGAAGAAATATGAAGAAAAGATGAAGAAATATGAAAAAAAGATCAAAGAGTTGGATGCTCCGTCTTCACCTCCTCCAAAGAAAGCAAAAGCTAACTCATCGGTAGATGAGTTTCTCAAGAAGAGGAGTCTGATGTAGGCAAAGGGGGGGTCAACTCAAACCCAAAATAAGTTGGTTTTGACTTCCCTTGAGCTTACAAGCTCAATAAAATTTGAGCTGGAATTTAGCTCATTTATGAGCTGGTCTTTAGTTCATTTATTGAACTAAGGGTTAGCTCATTATTAGCTAAATTTTAGTTCATTAGTTATCTTAATTAATGTAAATTTTATTATAGTTTTTTATGTCTTAAATTTAAGTTTGTCTCTTGGGATTCCAAAATGACTTTTGGAATCCCAAGGTGTTTGTTTTCCCGTGCCTTGGCTCCTTGGCTTCCACGGGTTGGTTGTTTGTGTGCCTTGGCTCCTTGGTTCTCATGGTGGGCTGTTGGTTTTCCGAACTGGGGGCCTTCCCGTGGCTTTTGGTGCCTCGGTTATGTGCGGCCTCTTCGTTTCCCGTGGCTGCTTCTTCGGTTCCCTGGCCAGGCTGTTTTCCCGTTAAAAGCAGCGGGCTTTTCCGTGGCTTATGGTGTTTGGATTCCTATGGGAATTCAATTAGTGTGGCTGTTTATATTCCCCCTTTTATACCTATAAATATGAGGGGTTATGTAATGTTTAAAAAAAAGTGATAAGTTATTTTTGGAAAAGAAATACTTGGGATTTTCTTGAAGAAGCTTGCAAGCTTTGTCCACCTTCTTCTTCCACCTCCTCTGGAAATCTTGCGAGCTCTTTCCACCCTTCTTCTCGGCTTTTAATCTCTTTCTTCTCTCCGCATGTGACCACCTCACCTGTATCCCTCTTCTCAAAAGTAAGCAAGTTTAGGGTGTCTTGGTCGAGTCGAATTTGTAAGTTTCTTTTAATTTGAAATGTAAGAGTTTGTTCTTCCTATTATCTAGTAAGTGTGTCCCTATAATTAGCTACGTGTTCGTTTTATTTCGTAAAAGATCCTTTCCTCTTCTTTTAGGTCGGGTGGTGAATCTCTTTTGTGCGCAGAGGTCCTCGGGTCCCCCATCCCCCGGATTTTTTCCAGCATCATTTTTGGTATCAGAGCAGGTTAGGAAGTCCAGGGTGGTTTGTCAAATCTTGTTTTGATTTGTCAAGTCAAGTCTTATTATAAATTTTGTCAATCTTGTGAGTCTAAATTTTTTAGGTTGAGTCTTTTGAATCTTTCTTTGAGTCTTGTTTTTTGAGTCATTTTAAAAATGGAAAAAGACAAAAAAAAATTGAAGAAAGCAAGCTAGATGAAATTGAAGATCCTATGGATAGATGGATTCCATCACAATCGACAAATCTTTTGGTGTATGAACTGTACAAACTTCAATCATGGATGCACTTATGTACAGAAAGGTACATGAAGAAGAAGAAGCATTTAAAAGATCAATTTCTGAAAGAACGAGAAAAGATCCTGAAGAAATATGAAGAAAAGATCAAAGAGTTTGATGCTCCGTCTTCACCTCCTCCAAAGAAAGCAAAAGCTAACTCATCGGGAGATGAGTTCTCAAGAAGGGGAGTCTGATGTAGGCAAAGGGGAGAGGGGGGGGAGGGGGAAGGGGTCAACTCAAACCCAAAATAAGTTGGTTTTGCTTCCCTTGAGGTTACAAGCTCAATAAAATTTGAGCTGGAATTTAGCTCATTCATGAGCTGGTCTTTAGTTCATTTATTGAACTAAGGGTTAGCTCATTATTAGCTAAATTTTAATTCATTTGTTATCTTAATTAATGTAAATTTTATTATAGTTTTTATTTCTTAAATTTAAGTTTGTCTCTTGGGATTCCAAAATGACTTTTGGAATTCCAAGGTGTTTGTTTTCCCGTGCCTTGGCTTCCACGGGTTGGCTGTTTGTGTGCCTTGGCTACTTGGTTCTCACGGTGGGCTACTGGTTTTCCGAACTGGCGGCCTTCCCGTGGCTTTTGGCGCCTCGGTTCTATGCGGCCTCTTGGTTTCCCGTGGCTGCTTCTTCGGTTCCCTGGCCGGGCTATTTTCCCGTGAAAAGCATGGGGCTTTTCCGTGGCTTATGGTGTTTGGATTCCTATGGGAATTCAATTAGTGTGGTTGTTTGTATTCCCCCTTTCATACCTATAAATATGAGGGGTTATGTAATGTTTAAAAAAAAAGTGATAAGTTATTTTTGGAAAAGAAATCCTTGGGATTTTCTTGGAGAAGCTTGCGAGCTTTGTCCACCTTCTTCTTCCACCTCCTCTGGAAATCTTGCGAGCTCTTTCCACCCTTCTTCTCGGCTTTTAATCTCTTTCGTCTCTCCGCAAGTGACCACCTCACCTGTATCCCTCTTCTCAAAAGTAAGCAAGTTTAGGGTGTCTTGGTCAAGTCGAATTTGTAAGTTTCTTTTAATTTGAAATGTAAGAGTTTGTTCTTCCTATTATCTAGTAAGTGTGTCCCTATAATTAGCTAAGTGTTCGTTTTATTTCGTAGAAGTCCTGTTCTTTTTAGTCGGGTCTACTCTTTGTGGGCAGAGGTCCTCGGGTCCCCCATCCCCCGAATTTTTGCCCGCATCAGAATGACTGTAGGTTTTGTGAGCTTTGCTGACGCTGATCAGATTTTAAGTGCTATTGAGGTATCTTCTTTGGTGATGCCGCCCATAACTTTACTCTTATTTCATCTAATGTTTTTGCTATTGAGCTTCCCATGTTTGTTTCCCAGGCTGACCTTTGTTAAATTAATAGGTTTTAAAGGTAAATCCTTTTAATTGCAAGCAAGTAAAGGTTGCTGATGCAGTTTGTAGATCTCAGAAAAGGAAACAAACAATGGAAATCACTAAGTGCGGCTCAAGTACTGAGGATGGCTCTCTTCTTGCCTCAGGGGACGATGCAAATGTGCAAGGTATTCTTCCAAGGACAAAAGCTGTTTTTAATGTAGTTACCCCTCTTGCTCAAATGCCCTACAAAGATCAGCTAGAGCACAAGAGAAATTCACTGCTTCAAACACTGAAACGACTTGTAAGGAAAATTGTTAAGTTGTTTTCCCATATCTCATGTTACATTTACATTTCTAAATATTGCTTCTCATATGTGATATAATATATGCTCCCATCAATTAAGCATATTTTCTCCCATTCTT